AAAAATTTTTTCAATGAAATTTTTCTAAATTTAAATAAAAGACTTTTACTGACTGTTTTTATTAAATTATTATAATGAATGAATCAAATACGCAAGTTACTCTTTTGTTAAGTGCAGTTTTTATTAATTAATCAAGTCTTAAGTGACCAAGCTATCTCTATAAATTTTGTGTCTCAACAAACCTGAAATACTTAAAAGGTTGAAAGATGCTGAGAGCAAAAAAGCAGCAAAGCAAGCTAATTAACAACGTAAGCTTAGCTCTAATGGCAAACAGCAAATAAACCAAGTCCAACGAAAATATTAGCTGTTAACCAATTTAAGTGTAAAAAGTGCTAAAAACTTTTGGGTGATGCTTCAGCAAGTCAAAATATAGAATGGTACCAGTGTGAAAATTCAAATTGCAAGGTTTGGTATGCATGTCAAATATGCATACCATAGTGATACGTAAAAGGCGCTGAGTTTTATTGCACCAAAGTGCCCCACAACTGAAAACTCAACCTCTAGTACCTCTAAACAACTCAACATCACAAGAATAAAAAAGTTTATTTTATTTGATTGATTTTTTAATTGTTATTATTGATTGCTTTTTGTTTTTTTAATTACGCATATATTTGCGTATTTCATTCTCCCCAAATGTCAGTGTAGAATGGAATAAATTTTTTTCATAAAAAACTTTTTTAAAAAGTTATTTGATTTTTATATATTTAAATACAGCTCAATATTCTCTACAACTTAAAAATTAATAAAAAATTAAAAATAATTAAAATCCTTAACTATTCCATTTGACCCCATTTTACTCTATATTATATGCTATAATTTATTCAATGTTAAATGAGCTAGAAAAAAAATAAAGAAAAATGAGACTAAATGTAACTTATTACTCTTTACAAAGAAATAAAACAGAGCTTCTGTTTACTTTTTTTACTAGTATTTTTACTAGTATAATTAAAGATGATTGCAACAAAAAAAACAAAAAAAAACAGATAAGACATAATTATAAGTATGTAACTAATTATATACTTTAATAAAAATAATATTTTGATGGGTATTTCATTTTAGACGGAATCGATGATGGTGAAATAAACCAAAAAAAAGAATCTGAATCAGTTGATCCATTTTTACCACAAGATGCACCACCTCCCTTACCTGAGCACGATGTTAGACCACCACTTCCACCTGAGGGTATACTGCTTGTGTCAAAAAGTTTTTACTGAAAAACTTATTGTTATTATTGTCGTTATTATTAAAAATACTTTATTATTTTATTAGATGAGCCATTACCAGAGTTACCTAAACTATCTGCAAAAGATGAAGAAAATGATAGGGTTATTTTTATTGGATTGCATTCTATTTTACTTATTTTTATATTCTTTTAAATTGTTTATTATATATTTATATTATTTATGTTGTATTTTATTAATTTTGTTTTACAAAACTAGTTGTGATTTAAAAATGATAAAAATTAATAAAGAAAAAGTTTAAATAAAAGTAATAAAGAAAAAGTTTAAATAAAAGTAGATTTGTTGTTCTTATGAATTTTTGTTTAGGCAAATGTTTTATATTCTGTGTTATATGTTTCATATACTTGTTGAAAATATTCTATATTTGATGTCCATCAAATTTCAGTGAATTAAATTTTTTTTTTTAATCGGATCCATCTTTTGAATGCTTATTGTTTAACTCCAACTAAAACTAAATTAACTTTTCTTACTGGAGCTATTGTTTATGACAATTAAATAAGAAATAAGATAAGAAAGGGTTTGCTTATCTGAATTAGGATTTTCTTTAGTTTCTTATTTAAATAATAAATCTAAAAACACTCATGATGCAATCAATTGATTAGTTTGATTCTAGATTCACCGTGAAGCGATTAGTTAACTGACCTAAAATGGTTGATTTTTTATAGCAAAATAAGTCCTAATTTTATTGTGTAAAATTTTTTTTTTTTTAAAGAAAACCAATTTCTTTCAAAAGATTCACATGTTTCTAAAATGTTGATTAAAATACTTGATTGTTTGTAGCAACTGTTTAAAAAATAAGTTTATTCTTTATATGCTTTACTATCTATTTTACAATATTATAAGTATTGTAGTATTGTAAGTTAATAACTAAATTATTATAAAAATAATTTTCATATTTTGAGGAGTTTAAAAAAAGTGCATAGTTATTTATTATTGTTTTAGAGTAATAATAGCATATCAATGTGTAATGATAATATATCAATTACTTTTTTATAAGTTGAAAATGGACTTGACAGGTTTGGCCCGTCCTGCTAGTTTTTTTGCACTTGTTATCTGCATTTTTTCAGTTTTTTTTTATATCCAATAAAAGTTTAGATTAACAAGACTTGAAAAATTTTTAAATGATTTTAATAATAGCTACAGTGTAGCTATAAAAGTAGCGTAACACTGTATTTTTTTATTTTTTTCTCTAAACTCATTGCACTAAAATAATACCAAAATGTATGAATAGATATTTACATGGCCAGGGCAAAAAGAAGACAACTTAGTCTTATCACTAAGCCCTGTATCTTAAATATATTTTAAATGAACAAAGCATTTTACCATCTTTCTTTTTTAGTATAATTTTTTTTTTTTTTTTCGAGATATACAGTTAGTGGTGTGCGAATCAGGGCAAGTAATAAATAGTAATTGACTGCGGTAGAAATTTGACTGGAGCAAGGGCCAGGTTTGATAAAAAATAGCATGGGTCAGGAGCAGAATTGAAGAGCTTGGTGCTAAAACAATGTAACTCCATTTTTGCAATTTATGTCATTTCTATACTAACTGATAGAACTTCTTTTATATACTGATAATCCATTAAAACCTGAAAATTGATTAAAAGTGTAGTTACATCATTTTTGTGAACAAAGCTGTACAATTCTTTTTTAGTATAATTTCACGTCTTTTTTTTTTTTTTTTTAAAGTTTAAATAAAACTTTAATATTAAAAAAAAATCGGTATTAAGTTATATTAAAAAACTTTTTGTCTTAAGTTACTAAATTAGTTTGTTTCTCTCTTTTTTTGTGAATAAAAATATTACTTACTAAAAATATTTTCAAAAACTTTTTGTCGTTTACTTTTGTATCAGTTTGAATTAAGATAATAAGATCGAAAACAGACCCATGCAATTTTTTTTTCTCTAAAAAAAACAACTAAAAAAACAAGTCATTTCTTTAATATGTATATAGTATATGTTTTATATAATATTGTATGTAATATACATTATATATGAGGAGCCTTTTTGCAAAACATACTAAGTTCAAGTAAATTGATTTTGAAAAAAAGACAAAAAACTGAATTATTCTTAGTTGCACATCAACAAAAATTTATTTTTCTTTGTCTATTTTTAGGGCAAAAAATATTTTATTTGGTCTAAAGTTTAAATAGATGATAGATTTTATTAAATAGAATGTGGAAAAGGAATTAACTCAAAATTTTTAATTTTGTGACTTAGTGCGTTTTGCAGATGAGATCCTCATATAATGTTGTATATATTTTGTATATAATATTGTATATAAATGTATTTAATGTTATGTAATAGATAACTCTTGAATCAAAATAAATTATTAAATTTTTGAGTGATGTTAACTAACATTTAAAAGAATGTTTATACTTCTAGGAATACTATTAAACCATGATCTTCTATAATAAAAAGCATTGATTTCCTATAATAAAGTTGGCTAATTGAAGGCGGATTTGTAATACTGTGTTTACATTTTCATCTTTAAACTTAAAACAAAAGTTGTTCTTTTTTAGCAAATTTCTTTAATTTGGTTAGCTTTGGATAGCTTTAAGACATTAAAGATTATTAAATTATTAAAATTAGATAGCTTTAAGACATTAAAGTTAGTGTGAACAAAGTTGTATATCATTTTACTAACAAAAAGTTATTATATTTGTTTATAAAGATGCATTCAAAATGCTGCATACTTTTCTGCATGTTGAACTGTTACATGACTTGAATAAAAATGTTTATTTATAGTTTTACAAACTAAATCTGGGCGGTTAAAAAGAGCGAGTTTTATTAGTATTGTTATTATTTTTTTTAATTCAATCCAAACAAGGCTTTAATCAAACATTATTTAAGTTGGAGTTACTAGAGAACAAAGAATATTGTTAATAGAGAAAAAAAAGCATTTGACAGAAAAATTAGAAAAATTGTAAATTACAGGAGTCTGGAAAACAAGTTACTGAAATTGTTGAACTTTTAAAGCATGGCTAACAACATTAGGTACATATTTGTTATGTGATTATTTACATCACATAAAATTTTTATGAAACAATAGGTTGAAAGAGAAGACTAGTCAACTTCTGTTTTTGCACATGTTTTTGCACTGTCTTTGCACTGGTCTTGGCTAAGTAAGTGGTTTTGAAATGTATAAATTAAATATTTAAAACTTTTAGTAAATTATCTAAACTTACTATATCACTTTATCCATAGCCAAACCTAAAGCAAAATTTTGTGAAGTTTTGTTTGTAATTTTGGTTGTAAACAGTAGTTGCTTTTAAAATGCATCCAAACATTAAAAAATAAAAACACTTGATTATACTGTTGTATTTATTTTTAAAAAAATGTCTTTGGAGTGGTAATGTCTAAACACCTGATGCTTGCATTTGGTTACACAGCTACAACTGCTGTGAGATACTGCTAAACTATCAAATTGTATGAAATTTTACATATATTATTTTAAAGATACCAGTAACTTTTAAATTTAATTTTTTTTGCAGATACCAGTAACTTTTAAAGATACCACTAACTTTTAAAGATACCACTAACTTTTAAAGAAAGTAGTATTGCAACTGCGCATGTATACTTTATAAATGTAGTTGAAAAAGTACATATTCAAAATACTAAATTGGCATTACAACTAGAAATTTCTCTAAATGGTCATTGATGATCATACTTGTTGCAGAGATATTTCTGCTGATGAAAAAATACTGTTTGGTAATTAGCATGATTTTGAAGAAAAGATTCTCATTTATTAGTATCTATAGTTTACATTAATGTGTGCAAAAAAAATTAAATTTATGATTAACATAATAAATTGATTTTTTATAATTGACACTGTTTGAAGAGCTTAGAGGCAGACTTCTAAACTTTTACTGATACTGTTGCCCAATTCGTAATTATTTATTTTTATTTTTCAAGGTGCTGATGGTGCTTATTAAGTTTTAGTTCACTCATGCAAAATATGTTCTAATATTTTGCTGAAGAATTATCCATTAATTACCTCTCCAAGCAATTGCAAGAGAGTCTAATGTGAATAAAGCATAATAAATTGCAAAACATAAAATTCACAAAAATCATAATTTTTGAAAATTTTATGTTTTGTAATTTATTGTTCTATTTTCTTGTCAGGTTCCATATTTTTCCTTTAATTAATGTTTTTATATTTTGTATGTTTTTATATTTTATATTATGTATTTCACATTTTTCTGGAGATAAGATTTTATTTGAAATACATGAAAAGTTAATCATTTTTTAGCTTTTGTCAGTTTTTTTTTTAGAATTTACATCTAATTATTTATATTAGTCATATTTAACTTGTCATTAATTATGTCTTATATAAAAAGATGTCTTATATAAAAAGAAAAAGAACAAAAGTTTAATCAACCCAAGACTTGTTATTGTAGAAGGCCATGCATTAAAATTTAAAATATGTACATTTTTAAATTAAAAAAAAGTTACTGTCTTGTAGTTTTGTAGTTATTCGAAATCGGTTATGTACAATTATTAAATTATTGTTTAGAAAGAAATTACCAGCTTGTCAAAGTTACTATTTGAAAAACTTGATTTTCTTGGGATAACCACCAGAGACTTGGGCAATTTACAGCTAAATTTCATTGAACTTGAGGTAAGCACGTTTACCTCTTCATTGTATATAGATAATTATAATATACAGAACGCCTCAATAGATTTAAAACAAAAGTGCATCTAAAAAAGACAAGCCCATGTTGTTGCTTTCTTTTATATATATATATATATATATATATATATATATATAATATATATATATATATATATATATATATATATATATATATATATATATATATATACACACACATACATGCACACACATATACATACATAAATATATGCAGATACATGTGTGTATATAAATATATACTCATACACAAAAGTTTGTGGACAGATGTTTATTCTGGTTAAATTTAATGTTTTCAAATAAGCAAATGTTGAAAGTTTGTATGAAGAAGTGACTTGTTTATTTTGTCAAAACAAAAATCTGTAAATATATTTCAAATAAATTTAACACTCTCCGATTTTTGATGCACATTTCGAGGTTATTTAACATTTCCTGTTAAAATGGAGTTCTTATTTGAAACCAAAACTAAAGTCGGACAATTAATCAAGTTAGAAGCATTGACATTACAGGCTTTTTAAAAAATCTGGTTAAAGAAGTCAAACAACTTAACACTTTTCTAGCAAATGTTGAACACCATGAAGAGTTTTTGAAAAGACAGCGTGTAAGTATTAGAAAGGAGGTTTGTCGTTCACGTATTTTTCAAATTCTATTTTTCTTTGAAGAAATGCATTTTAAGTAATTTAAAATTAGATAGATTTTTCATTCGTAGGTGAATGTTTCAATGTTAATAATGTGTTATTAATTTTCAAATCATTTGCTACCATGTTTTTTTGTTTTTTTTAAGAGACATTTATGAATTGATTTAAAAGTATTATTAATCACTAGTTTGTAATCAATTTAATGTAAATAATTTAACGTGCACATGGTTCAAGATTCTTCTAAACCAAATATATGATTTAAGATTAATATAACTTTTTTATTAAATAATCTCAGTGTTTTAATGTCATTTTAAAGATAATCTTTTTTTAACAATGAGTAAAGAAAAAGTATGTTAAGTTGAAAAGAGATGAATTTCAACTTAGTTTAAGAGATGTTAGTGTAATCATTGTATAATATGTGAATACCTACGGGTGGAGAGTCAAAATGCGGTAATTTTCATTAAGTTATTTTCTAAAAAAAATCTTCTTCAAACCTAAGCTAATTTATTTGTATGTATTTTTAGACTCGAATTAAAGATTGGCAAGCTGGAGCATTAGATAGTCACTACTTTCTACAACGTCTCCGTGATTTATCTGTAGAAATAAAAAATCATGAAGATAATGCTGCTCCTACAGGATGGATATGTCATTGGAGTAGGTGTGTATATATTCCAACTCAATCGTTTTTTACAGTTTTATTTTTGATTTGCAATGTTGTTTAACTTATTTTGTTAAAGTTAAACAACAGTTTTAATTTTCAATTTTATCCTTTACAATATTAAATCATTTTATTCTTTACAATTAATGTTGTGGATATTTCTTTACAGTCTTTATTTTGTGAATATTTTTTTATCCTTTAAAATTTTAAATGTTAAATCCTTTAAAATTTTGAATCTGAATTTTACTTTTTTTTTTTTTTGCAGTCATTTATATTTATCTTTTACAATTTTTTTGTTATGGATATTTTTCCACCCTTTAAAATCTTTTTGTTGTGAATATTTTTTCATTTGATTTTAAAAATTAATTGAACTTCTAATTTGATTTATATTGAATTTCTTTATTTCAAAGTGTAAGAATCATGCGGATTACTAAAAGTATATAAAAAACTGCATGCTTTTTACAATAATATTAAATTATTGTGGAATCTTTTTGAAACTAGTAGAAGATTTAATTGCAACATGTGATCATAATTGGTGAGTTGTTTTAAATTTAGAATTTTTTTTTGAATTTTTTCAAATAACATGGTTTTAGCAGTTTGTATAGACAAACTGCTGAAACCATGTTAGCAATTTTTATATTTAAATATAAAATTTAAATATAAATGGTATAAATGGTATAACTGGTATAAATGAACATAATTATCCTATAAATAAACATGAAAAAGTATTTTTTAATTTAAGTCAAAACAAATATATATATATATATATATATACAGGCCTCAATGGGAAGCAAGAGCTTTAGCTCCTGCCCACACTCCCCTAAAACAGTTTACTGGAGCAATTTACAGCTCTCACAAAAGTATAGTTTTTCTCACAAAAGTATAAGTGTCGTTGTAACTAAAATAAAAAACAATTTAAAAAAAATAATAATTGCATAATATACTGCAATGCTTTTTAAAAAGCACAGTTGTTGCAATAAAAAAAATTAAAATTAAAAAAGAGCGCCAATTTAAATGAGGAGCAGTTTACACAGCTCCCCAAGTTTATTTTAGAAGAGCTTTTCTCCGTCCTCGTTCTAATTTATTACCACCAAGGCCTCTATATATATATATATATATATATATATATATATATATATATATATATATATATATATATATATATATATATATATATATATATATATATATATATATATATACTCTTGCATGTCTCTTGCGTAGCATCAAAAAATATTTCCCATAAACTGTAGTTTTAAAAAGCGCGTTAATAAACCAGACCAGAAAAAGTTTTAAAAATTAAATTTTTTTTTTTAATTGATAGACTGCCTGGCCAAACCAAACCCTCAGTCGATGTAGCAGCACTCTCTTGCGAGTCAGGCTATTTGTCAGTCGTTGTAGCAGCACTCCCTTGCGAGTCAGGCTATTTGTCAGTCGATGTAGCAGCATTCCCTTGCGAGTCAGGCTATTTGTCAGTCGATGTAGCAGCACTCCATTGCGAGTCAGGCTATTTGTCAGTCGATGTAGCAGCACTCCCTTGCGAGTCAGGCTATTTGTCAGTCGATGTAGCAGCACTCCGTTGCGAGTCAGGCTATAAGATAGTCGATGTAGCAACATTTACGCATGTTAAAAAATGTTTTTTATTAAATCAATAACAAAAACACCACTAATTAAAAAAAACTTTCTAGTCGTTATAATTGCGGTTTTTAAAAAATTTTTTAAAAAACAATTAAATTTAATGTACTTCCGCATAAATTAATTGCTTTGACATTTCGATGACAATCAAAAACAGCTTAAGAGACGAGGTAATTAAAATTGTAGTCGTAAGAGACTTTTTTTACATTAAAATGCTCTTAAAGCGACGCTATATGAGTATATATATATATATATATATATATATATATATATATATATATATATATATATATATATATATATATATATATATATATATATATATATATATATATATATATATATATATATATGTATATGTATATATATATATGTATATGTATATATATATATATATATATATATATATATATATATATATATATATATATATTAGGGGTGTCCAAAAAACAACTTTTTTGAGAAAAACCTGCTGACACCCCCTAAATGTGTTTTATCTAATGCAAAAACACTAGGTTTAAAATTTTTTTTGAACAAAAATTATTTTTAGGGGTAGCTCAAGGCCCTCAAAAATTTGACGGGTCCCTAATATTTTGAAAAAAAACTTTTTCTAAAGTATGTCAACCTGGTACTCAAAAGAAGCAAAATTATATAAAAATTTAAAAATGATAATAATTTTTTATAAAAATAATTTTTTTTAGGTATAAATGCATAAAAACTATTGTTTTTAAGCTGAAAATAAAAAAAGTCAATATTTTCAGGTTTTTTGAGAATAATTTTTTTTAGGCATGTTTTTTATGTAAAATGATTATTATTTTTGAAGTTTTTATACAATATCGCTTCTTTTGAGTACCAGGTTGACATACTTTAGAAAAAGTTTTTTTTTCAAAATATTAGGGACCCGTCAAATTTTTGAGGGCCTTGAGCTACCCCTAAAAATAATTTTTGTTCAAAAAAATTTTAAACCTAGTGTTTTTGCATTAGATAAAACACATTTAGGGGGTGTCAGCAGGTTTTTCTCAAAAAAGTTGTTTTTTGGACACCCCTAATATATATATATATATATATATATATATATATATATATATATATATATATATATATATATGTATATGTGTGTATATATATATATATATATATATATATATATATATATATATATATATATATATATATATATATATATATGTATATGTGTGTATATATATATATATATATATATGTATATATATATATATATATATATATATATATATATATATATATATATATATATATATATATATATATCATAATTAGGAAAAATGAGATCGGCATTAATTTGATGGCCTCAATCTTTTTGAGGTCGGCAAAAATTATTTGATATAAAGGTTTGACCATGAAACATAGAAATGAGGTCGGCAATTTTTAGCCGACCTCAAACACTTTCAGGTCGGCATTGCTGAATGCCGACCCTAATATATATATATACATATATATATATATATATATATATGTATATATATATATATATATATATATATATATATATATATATATATATATATATGTATATATATATATATATATATATATATATATATATATATAATATATATATATATATATATATATATATATATATATATATATATATATATATATATATATATATATATATATATATATATAGAGGCATTGGCGGGAAGGGAGTGCTTTAACTCTTGTTCTCACCCACACTCCCCTAAAACAGTTTACAGGAGCAATTAGCAATTTACTGCTCTCGCAAAAGTATAATTTTTCTCATGAAAGTATAATTATCATTGTAACTAAAATAAAAACCAAAATGTCATTAAAAAAAAATTGCATAGTATACTGCAAATACTTTTTAAAAAGCATCGTTGTTGCAAAAAAAATTTAAATTAAAAAAGAGTGCTAATTTAAATGAGGAGCAGCTCGCACAGCTCCCCAAATTCATTTTAGGAGAGCTTTACTCAGCTCTCGTGCTCATTTATTCCCGCTGAGGCCTATATATATATATACATATATATATATATATATATATATATATATATATATATATATATATATATATATATATATATATATATATATATATATATATATATATATATATATATATATATACATATATATACATATACATATATATACATATACATATATATATATACATATATATGTATATATACATATATGTGTATATATACATATATATGTATATATACATATATATATATATATATGTATTATTATTATTATTATTATTATTATTATTATTATTATTATTATTATTATTATTATTATTATTACAGTATAGTTATGTATCTATGTATGTTTTTTTGTATGTATGTGCATATGTATGGATGGATTTTATTATAAAACATAAATTGATTTTTTAAATATATTGATCAACTTTAGTGATCATTTTATTGAAGAATAAGAAATTTTTTCAAATATTTCCATATTTGTTTTTTAACTTTGTTTTCTATTTTAGGCAATCTTGATTTGATTGGATAAAGGTAAGTTAAAAAACTTTTCTTTTTTTTTTTTCTTTTAATTTTTTATTTTTTTCTTCAGTGAATATAATATGTACTACTACCACAATAATGCGACTGGAGAATCTCAATGGGAATATCCTGATCAAGGTGTTGCTTTAACCTTTCCCGTTAGCGATTTGCTGCAAACCAATATGGGTATGATTACTCCTGTATCTTCATTTCTTCCTGCTCAGCCTATGATCGCTCCTCCAATTCCACCAATGATGATGCCTGTTCCATTGGAAACTATGGTATCAAAAACAATACTACCTCTTCCCTCAACTACTCAATCTTATAGCAGAGATTCTGTTCCAATAACTAATAGAAAACGACAAGGTTTTTATTTTTATTTTATATTATTTTTTTAATTATTTATGCAATTTTTTCCTATTTAGTATTGATTATCTGATAATCTAATTTTAAGAAAACAAAATGTGACAAAATAAGTAAACAACTAAAGTTTTTTTTTTATTTGTTTGTTTAAAATTTATGTATTCTTTTGTTTGCAAACATCAAAAATGGCAGTTTTTTTTTGTGTGTGGATTAATTTAACACAGATATTTTATGGAATTATTTTTATATTTAAAAGCATTATATTTTGAGTTAATTTTAAATGTAATTAAAATTGATAAAAGTAAAAATAAATATATTATTTATTATATTATGTATATATATATAATTAAATCTGAAACAATATCTGTGACATTTTTTTTGCGACCAATCCAGCATTAGTTCATTATTAAAAGAAGCTACATGTATTAAAAATATGTCTATATAATTTTAGGTTCAGTGGAGCCTCAAGTTAAGTCCTCTGGTAATTTCTTTTAATTTCTTTATGTGTGTGTATGTGTGTGTGTGTGTGTGTGTGTGTGTGTGTGTGTGTGTGTGTGTGTGTGTGTGTGTGTGTGTGTAGTTTTTGTTTTTAAAGGGAATTAAAAATAGAAATTTATTTTATAAAGTGTTTTTTTTTTAATTGTAAGTTTTTTTTTGTATATGTTAATCTTGTTTTATCTTAATATTAGATCCCTATCGTGATCCATATAGAACAACTAAAAAAAATAAAGTTTCTGAAGGTTAGAATTAAGTTTTTTGATTGAATAAGAATTGTTTTATTTAAGTTTGGTTTATTATTTACAAAATATACAAAATATATTGTCTCTTTAGGTAAATATTTTTCTTTAATATAACTATTGACTTTTTTTAATAGTAAACACAAATAATGGAAATACAGCTAGTTCTAGGTATTTTTTGTTCTACTTATTTTGCTATGAAATTCTTTCAATTTAATTTTTTTTATAAGATTTCCTTTCTTTTTTTTTTTTTTAATTCTTGTGATGAAAATTTCAAAATTTTTTTAAATTTTCAGTTACAAATGAATGCAACAAAGTTGTTAGTTTGTTTTTTTTTTTTGTGTTTTTTTGTTGTTGTTGTTTTGTTTTTTTTTGGGGGGGGGGGGGTGTAAAGTTTGAGAAAAAAATTTTAATAAAAGTAAGCTAAAAATATATCAATTTTTTTTATTTTTCATTTTACTTCTTTCAATTTTATGTATTAGATAATATATAATCTCAATCTTAGTCCAATGTTACGAGATGTAGCAGAACCTATTGTTAATGAATACGCATCTTCACTTCAATATGAGAACCCTAATCTTAGTACTCAGTCTCCTCAATCTTCCACAAGTAAAAAGGTATTAAACCATAAAATTTAGTTTATTATATTTGTGTTTTTCTAACAAAATCAAATGGATATTATCGATTATTTATTGTTAATATAGAATAGAACACTAAGTTGATAAATAAGATTCAAAAGTTCTTTAAGGCATTATATATTATCTAAACAGTACAATATAAAACTAGGGCTATAAAATATAAAACTAGGACTAATAAATATAAAAATATAAAAAAATATAAAACTAGGACTATATTGTTTTTTAGTTTTATATGTTCTGTCTCTATTGTAAAAGAAAAAAGCTATAATATTTTATGTATGTATATATATATATATATGTATATATATATATATATATGTATAACACAAATAGTATTGTATAGCTATGTATGAAATAAACTGTTAACAAGATTTTTTTTAACTATAATTTTTTTTCTCTGTTTTTTATAAAATAATTCATATTTTTTAAATTTTTTTTATAATTTCGCTTCATTTGACACCCAACATGACATACCTTAAAAAAAATGTTAATGATATTATTAGGGACCTGTTTGATGTTTAAGGGTCTTGTGGCACCCTTAAAAATGTTTTTTTTATTAAAAAAAATTTTAAATCCAGTATTGGTTTATTATATAGAGCACATTTAGGGGTGTCAACAGACATTTTTCGAAAAAAAATTGTTTTCAGTATCACCCCTAATTTCTATATATTTTTTATTCTAGGAAAATGGGACAAAAATAAAAGTGAAAAAACTCAAATCGGTTAGAACATAATTAATGTTTGTTTTTTAATAGAAACTAAAATAATACAGTATTTTTTAAAGATTTTATAACCAATTATTTTAGAAGAACAAACTGGAGTCATCTGGGTTGCCTTCTAAGAAACTAAAGCAGGTTTCATCTCTAGTGCACAAGTGGCAATCAGTAAAGCAGCAGGCTGAAGAAGAAGAAAGCATTGAACTTGGTTCTTCCGAAGATGACGATTATGAAGTAACAGCAGAAAAAAGAATTGAGGAATGGAAGCAAAGCATAGAAGCAAGGTTGTTGTTTGTTCATATAAGAATAAAAGATTCTTTCTAAATATTACCCCAAACTTGTTTTACATTTTATTAAAATGAATTATTTTAATATATAATTTTTGTAATTGTATGTAATTAAAATAATTAATCTGTGTAATAAAAAAATAAAGAAAATCTACCTCATCTCTTGAAATTTTGTGGCTCTATCCATGATTTTGACATTATATGTTTGACATTATATTAAATTAAATGTTGTTTCTGTTACTTTAATGCCTTAATGTTTTTCTGCCTATGGCTTTGTGTTGACAAAATCTTAATCTTCAAATTACTTTCATTTGTTTTTAGTTTTGTAAATATAAATTCCTACTTAATTTGCTTAATGTTGTATTATAGTGTTTACAATTTACTAATGTTTTATTACAGCCTAATTTATTTAATGTTTTATTACAGTGATTTGAAGCTCTTCATTCCAAAACTGACCTCAGGTTTTTTTTCTAGTCATACAGTTTATTAGTTTCAATACAGAGTGATTATGCATTTAGACAAATTGTTTTATTAATAAGTTTTTCTAAATAACCATTACTTTTTAATCTAATTAAACTACATCAGTTACCAAATATTGTAACTAAGTCGTACAAAGTCCCGTTAAGTACTTTTTGGAAATGTTGAATCGATTGGCTATGTCGACATTATTCAAAATCACTATCTCTCTGCAGAAACAAGCATTAGTTCCCCATTTTGGCTGTCCATCTGACCATCATTGCTGATCATTCCATCTTCCTTAATATTGCTGCTCCATTTTCACTATTTCTTGTTGAAATCTTTCAATGCGTTCATCAGATAAGTTACCAGGGTTTTCTGATAAGAAATTAAGATTAGAATACAGAAAGAGGAATATATGGCATTAAAGAAGATCATTGACAATTTCAACAAATTGTCCAATTTGTGTTTTCCTAAATCAGAATATAGTATTTAATAAAATACACTAATAACTTGAATGACAGTGAGTCTCCAAGTTTTGTGTTGCTTAATACTTTTTTTAATCATTATTTCTTCTAGCTCTCACCTTGACCTTAGATGTTTGGGACATAAGGTTTTAGATGCTGAAAACCTGGTTTTGAACTACATTTTTATTTATGGGCTCAACAAGGTTTTTCATAAAACCTTAGCTAATAATGTTTGCTGACTCAACCATTACGTGTATGTGTTAACATTGCTTAATTTTACATCTTTTGAACTACATTTTAAGGAATATATGAAAAGGTGTCATTTATTATGTAGGTACTGAATGTTAAACTCACCAAATAAACTTTGAACATTGTTGCAGTAGCAAATGCAATAAATCATTGAATAGAAACTGAGAACTTTTATGTGTGCTAAGTGACAGTAATCTCCTTTCAAATGTGATCCAATAAATTCAGCATGTTCTTTTGATGAGTAGAAATTTCGTTATAGGTCATTCAAATCAGTATGACTAATAAGGTGAAAATTAAATTGGGATTCACCAGCAGGGCTGAACTCATATACATTGGTCTTCTCTGACTCGCTATCATCTTTCAAAGAACCATTAATATTTGTTAGATCTGCAGGCGGAGTGAGTACAAGCAATCCATCCTCATGAAGCAATAGTCTTATTGCTGGCGAACAATTTAGACACTTGATGCTTTTTTTTATTGTTTTCATTGAATGACCAGGCACATGTGTCTAGCAAAATAGCAGTAATTATTGTGATTTTTCTGCTTATGCCCCACACCATTAATACACCAGCCTCGATTTGTGTTTCCCATTGGTGTGCACATCAATTTATAATATGTGTGGAGTCTAGCTCTTGTTTAGATTGCCAACTTTGTCATTAAAATATAAATCAATTATTCTTACAAATGCTTTTTGTAATTGCTAGACACTTTTAGTGGAAGCAAATATTTTGTTCCGACCAACAAAAGTTTAAGGTATATTGCCGACTTTATTTTTGTGTTGTGTGTGTGTATATATATATATATATACATATATACCCCTTTTTTTTTTTTTTTAGGTACCCAGGAGATAAAATATTTGTTAAAAATATATGTTTTTTCCTAATAATTATAGTTTAATAATTATTTTTTTTTTCAACAATAAATTTGTATTGCTTGTTATATAGTTGTTATATGTTGTATTGCTTGTTATAGTCTAAGGTATTGTCTAAGGTATGTTCAATTTTCTTATATTACTTTAAATTATTGAAACCTATTTTTTTATAGTGGTCAAAAAGAATCCAATCCTAACTTTACTGAGATTAAAGGCGATTGGAGAGAACGTCTAAAGCGTAAAACAGCCACCTAATTTTTTTTCTCCAAAAGTTATTAGTGAACTGGTTTAAGTTATTACCACGAGGTTAGCGATAGTTGTTAAGCGACTCACACTGTTAAGAACGTGCGGAATTTTCCGAGCTTAACGGCTTTTCAGTGAATAAAATATGTCATGGAATAAAAAAAGAATAAAAGGTCAGCATCTATGGAAATAGAAGTAAGATTAGAATAAAAACTAATTCAACTGAGCAAAGCCTTTAAAGAACAGACAAAATATGTAGAAGTAAAGAATAAAATTAATAAAATTTATTTCTATAGAAGCATTAATATTGAAAAACATTTTTACAGACATTTCTTTGGCTGTTGTTTCGATTAAAAGCATTTTAAAAAAGCACCACTTAAAACAGCGAACAGCGGTTGACATGTATCAATATGTGTATTAGTATTTTAAATCTATTTTTTAAATTTAATTAAAATTTTCATAATTGTGTTGAGTTTTTTTACTTGTTCTAATAAAAAATAAAACATTTTTGTTGCATACGATGTTTATATACCTTAGAGTAATATAGTTATATATATCTTTGAGTAATATAAGTTTATTTATAAGTTTTGAAGTTTTTTATATACAACTTTAAAAACAACTAATATTTTAATTTTTTGAAGTGAACAATCACCTCCTTCAAATTGATTGGATTTCCTCTTTTTTCTTTATTTGTTTTATTGGTTTTAAGTCGTATGGTCAGAATTCTTAAAAGGAAACTTAATTTTGACGCTGTTTTATAAAAAAAAAGATTTCATGAAACCAAAATGAAACAATAAAAGGTTACATAAATGATTCTTACAATGGCATTCCTTGTACTTAATTTTTAAATAAGATAAAAAAACAACTTTTTTTGTATTTGTATAATAACGCGACGTGAGAATTATCCTGTTCCATCTTAAGGTAGTACAGTAATTAGAAGAAAAATTTGTATTCAACTTTTACAAATGATTTGTTTGTTTTTTTCTTAAATTGTATAATATGCTATTTGAAAGCTAAACAAATTTTAAACAAGTAAAATTAAAAACAAATTTTTAAAACCCAATGCTTTTATATTTATATTCTATTAATATTTTATTAATCACCCTCTGTAAAATATATTTACAAGGTAAAAACACAAACTAAAAAAAAGAGATTAAAAAAAGAATTATTTAGAAATGTTTTCTTCAAATGTCTTTTTTAAAAATTGTTCGCTATTCTTTTATATTCCAACATTGAACCGCGTGTACCAAAATATGAAGAATAGCTTCAGGAATTACATCCTCTAAGAATTTAAGTTTTACTTTTTTTTTTAACCAGCATTAAGGTTTTCATATTCAGTTTATGATTATCACATAATTCTTTTATATCATCTAAAGAAGAAAATTTAGCTGAACAGTAGTTAAGTTGGGAGTTAATGATTTCAAAGGTTACTTTATTGTTTAAAAGGCGGATAAATAGATTTATTTTTTTTGTTGTATATAATTTGACATCTTTAAATAGAGAGTGTATATAGTTTTTACTATACTTGGAGACATTAAAAATTGATTTAACTGCGTTCCTTCCAAATGTGTCGAGTCTTTTTATTGTTGAATCTTTATTTTCACAGAGCTCTAGACCGTGGGTTAACGTCGGAACTACCAATGATTTATATAATTGGATAATATATCCTGGATGTGCAAACCGGATTCCAGACTGAATCAGAGTTTGCACTGTTGCCCGGTAATTTGATACCCTACTATCAAATTCATTCTATTTAGTGAAGCAAAAGTTAATTTTTTTGTATCCCAAGTAAAGTCGAGATGATTTCTCACGAAGTTTAATTTGATGGTTGTCTAGAGATATTGTGCAGTTCATTATTTGTCTTTTTTCAGATAGAGAAAAAGCTTTATCTATATATACAACAATTTAAACTGGATAAAACTTTTAAGTTTTATCCCGTTTAAATTGTTGTATATGTTACACGTTGAAATAGGTTTTTTTAGGTCCGAGAGAGTAGAGCTGAGAAGAATGATGTCGTCAGCATCACAAGTCATCAGAATCATCTCACAAGTCATCATTGAGAAGAATGATGTCGTCAGCATCACAACACAAGTCAAGTTTCCATATATAGTTGTACCAACAATTTCATCATTTTTTATAGTTTCGAGTAGCTTCTCAGTGTATATGTTATAAAGGTAGGGTGACAGAATCAATCCTTTTCTCACTCCTTGCTTAAGACCAAATGAGACTGATTTGCAACCTAGGTATGAGACAGTTGGACTGCCGCTACGATATAAAGTTAACTATTTAAAGAGGTAGATTTTTATCAAAAAGTTTATTAAAAAGAACATCCCAGTTGCAGCTGTCAAAAGCCTTTTCAGCACCTAGTGTACATAAATAAACAGGCGAATTGTTGCGATTACAATGCTTAATTGTTTCGCTTACAAAAAAACTCAGCATGGAGGGTTGAGCTCTTATTATTAAAACCAAATTTAAGTTGATAAGTTTCTTTTTATTTCCGGGCATATGAGTAAGATAAGGTATTCTAAGAGTTTAGTAAATATTGGAATAATGCTGATACTGCGGTAATTGTTTGGATCGGTAAGTGATTTTTTATAGGATTTAACTAGAGGTATGATAGTTGATGTTGACATTGAAGTGAAACAACTTTCTTAACCATTGTGTTAGTGCTTCACATTGGGCATGTTTTAAATGTTCTGCAGAGATATTGAAATGATCCTTGCACTTATTTGATTTTAGATATGAAATAGCTATTTTAATATTTTCATCATTGAAATCTCATCAGGATTTTTGCAAATCCTGATTTTGCAAGGTGGAATTCGAAGATTAGTAACTCCATCAGTTATTTTCTCAGTGTTAAACCGTTTTTCAAAAATAGTTGTAAACTCTGCGGTTATGGATTCTTTATTTTTTTTTATTATAGTAAAACGTTTTGAATTTGAATCCTTTTTCATACTTCTAAAACTATTCCAGAAGTTTTTTGGGTTAGATTTTAGAAGTTTTTCATTTTTTTTGTATTGTTGATATAGCCTATTGTTTTGGGCTGCTTTGACGGCTTTGCGGAAATTCTTCCGAGCAAATAGGTAGCGATTAAAGATAGAAGAAGTAGTGTCTTTTACAAATCCCACTTCACTCCATTTTTGAAAATGAAAGGAAAGAACTTTTTTACTTTGAATTAATTCAGGAGTCCACCAAGATTTTGAATGTATAGACCGTTTCTTTAACTTTAGGTGTTCTCTAAGAGCTGATGTTGTACTGTTAGTTATAATTGTATAAATTTGCGTAAGTTCATTCTCAAAATTACCACTAGGGTTAAAATTAATAAAACTTGAATTTAATTGAACATTATATAAGTTTATAAAGTCGTAATTATTCCAGACATAACTTGGAATGCTATAGTCCTCTGTTAAGTTTTTTACATTTTCTTGATGATGTTGACCTTCATGTCCAAATGAAATTGATATTGGTAAATGATCGCTAACATTTTGAAAGAAAGGAGAAATAACAATGCATTTATAAAAGAGAAGAGATGTATACTTTGATATAGTTATATGATCAATATAAGAAGAGTTTGGTAATGTGAGATGTCGATATGTATTGCAGGACCAGAACCTTTAGTTACGTTGACTAATTCTAATTCATTCGAATCAATAAATTCCGATAAAACCTTAGACAAATTGTTTCTCTTTGGGCTAGATCTTTTTAGTAGGTCGTATATTCCGTAAGGAAACGATTGGAAACCTCCAAGTATAATTATCTCACAGTATCCGCATGACTATTCATAATTCCTTTTAGTATGTCTAATTGACTTGTGTATTTTTCCAATGACGACTGATTGTTTTGTGATGAGGTTTTGATATATGCCAATTACAATAATATTAATTTTATTTTTTTGTAACTTTATTGCATATATATTATCATCTTCGTACAGAGATATCATATTTTAAATTTTATTTTTTCGTATAAAAAATGCATTTTTACCAAATGGTCGACCCTGTTCGTGTTTATTTGCCTGGCTGAAAAGTAATGAGTGGGAGTTTTTACAAATATTTTTGATTATAGAATATTCGAGTTTTGATACCCAGTGTTCGCATAGAAACGTTATATCATGAGAAGTTAATAAGGCCTCAATATATTGATTATTTGATTTAAGTCCCTGACAATTAAAAGTACACATACTAAACGGTTTTGCACTATTTTCTTTCTTTAATATATTGTTTGAAGCCATTTTGATTAATATAATTTTCTACGGTCTGCGTTAGTTTCGAAATATTGGTCATCGATGGAGTATATGCACTTTTTCCGGAACGGTTTAATAATTATATTATTATCCCCAAATAGACGGGTTAAATATTTTTCCTTTTTCTGAATTATATACAGAGACTTTATATGATCTACTGTATTCGTTTTCTCTATTTAAAGTAATAGATATAGGCGTAATGCCTAGCTTAGTTTTCATATGCAGTTTAAGCTGCTCTTCGTTAATTTGGTTGCTTACACCACCTATAAAGACCTCAAATTTACGAATTTTTCTATTACAGGCAATAGTTTTATTTCCGTGAATTTTTGTTCCAAATATAGGTTCCGACAATTTATGTTTATTTTTTTAAGGTAAAATTTTTGTTTGGCGGACAGGCTTATTATTTTTGTTAACTAAAATAAAAGTATTTGGATTATTATCAATTTTTGATGGTTTTTCTTTAGTTTCAAAATTTGGTTGTTTAGCTTTATCAGTTGTAATTATGGTCTGTTGTTTTTGAGCCACAACATTTGCAAATGTTTTGACCTTTTGTGATTGGCTTTCTGTATAAATCTTTGCAACCTGTTTGTCACAAGATTGTTGAAAGCTATTATTTATAACATGCGGTGACTTCGGAACTTTTATTTTCATTTTCACATTGTGCATAATAATCGTATTTTACGTTTTGGGTATTTTCGTTTGATACTGTTTTCAATCAAATTTCGTTTGATATGGTTTTCAATAAGTTTACTATGATGAATTAATTTTTCTCGCATTAGACTAAGCTCCATTTTTATTTCTTTGTTTTCTTTTTGAATCGATTTTGTAATAGTAATTAACTCTTTAACTGACGAGATTAAAAACTTGTCACAATAATTTCTACATTTTTGGTTGAGATTAAGGCCTTAACTATATCTTTATGAAATTGCTTTTTGCATATTGTGATCAAAAATAGATAAATATCCTCTAAACATAATGATGTTTTATATCTTTTGAGTCTAACGTTATATTTATATCACTGAATTGTTCTGTGTCAAATATATTCAAGATTTCAGTAAATAAGCGTTCGCAAAGAATTCGAATCAAGCTTTCAGAAACTGTGTTCAAACTTTCAACAATTACATCTTTCGGGTGAGAGCATATTTCATCTAAGTTTTTCAAATAGTTATCTGCAAACGTATGTAAATCACATATCAAATTAGAAAATATCTCATCGACCAAAC